TGTCTTTTCTTGTATTAGTTGTTTGCATTTATTGTTGCATTTATTGTTTATTACTTTAGACTGCTCAATTAATTATTGTAGATTCAGTAGCTAAGAAAGTGTTTTGGCTCTCCCTTTCTCAATGTGCCTGGCCTTAGCTTGTGTCAAATTTGTGGATGAAGGTGGCCTCATGAAGGTGGAAGATGGAGAATTCGCAAGGGAAGCAGTAGTGCACGGAGACAACTAAGTCCTGTCCTTGATGAATCAACACTCATGTCATGTTCATATGAACGACACAATCATTCTTCATGCTTTCGGAAAAATCATAGACGCGGACATTACACAAAAGGATATGTGCAGAAGGGTGCATTTTCATCAAGAAACATCTTAGTTGACAAGTCAACTTTCTCTCTATCAAAATTCTCTGTTAAACTTCTCCCGGTTTGTGCAATATTTTGAATTGCTTAACTGTAGTTGCTTTCATGTTTAAATCTATATCAAACTATAAAGGGTGAGGTTAGTATAAGGGTGCCTCCTTATACTGTAGAAGTAAGGCGCACCTATAAAATTTACTTAGAGATGTCGTTTCGGTGTCAAAAACCTTATGATGGCTTCAAAATCTCTTTTTATCCGAAGTTATTAAATTTAAAATTTAAAAAATGGTACAGATCGAGCAGATCAAGAAATACTTGAAAATCTTGAAAATAGATGGTCCAGATAACTTGTTACAAGATGCATTTGTTTTCTTCATGTCCATTCATCTCAAGGTCGAGATGATCCGTTGGAGGGTTCTCCTACTTCAACAGTATAATGCAACCTTATATAAACTTTTTCCAACTATAAATTGCATGATTGTTGTATCTGTTTGATCTCTTGCATTTTTCCTTTCCTGTTTTCAAGTTCAATCATTATTAATAAGTAAATGAAAATATGGTCCTTTTGAATTTCGATCCTTTAAAATCTTGATTAAAAGTATCACATATTATGCGAACTTATCAACCCTATTGAGAAATTTAAGTACTTAACTCCATGCCTTAGCATCAGAACAACACCTTGGGTCCTTAAATTAATGCTAGTAAACTATGAGATTGGATGCATCACATATAAGATTCGGAAAAGTGAGCCAGTAGAAGCAAGGTATTGGTTCGACCTTGTCCTCCCTTATAAGTCTATTAGAAGACAGTGAATGAAAGTCTCTAGGTTGCTTTTTGGAGGTATCCTTGGACCAGCTCGTATGCTCATTAGTCATTACTCTCAAATAGTCTCTTCCAAAGTTTGAACGGCTGTCTAAATTGTTTTTCTTCAGTTCAAAAATTGACATCTTCAGTCTCTTTTTTCTTTTTTTCTTTTGAACACGTTAACTTATCGACATCTTTGGTCTCTTTTTTTTTTTTCTTTTGAACATGTTAACCTATCGACATCTTCGGTCTTATGGCTCTCTAGATGATTTTTCTTCAGGTGCCTTCTTGGCGTCTGGAGATTGTTGATCCTTTGTGATACAGTAATACTTAGAGCACTTATCTGTTCTATTTAATACATTCTTGTGACCAAGAAAAAGAAACTGAGCTCATGGTGCATCTTCATTTCTTTGATCCTATTGTTTGAACACTTCCAGGTGAGACGATCCTTTACTCCATCTGCAACAATAGGCCCAGATGAGCCACGTGTGGCAAGTACAACCTGGCCTGAGGATGCTGTCATAGAGAAACAAGGCTTGGAGTTATGGGATCCTGAGATCGAAAATGCAGAGCTAGAAAGGTTTCTGAGTTCTCCACTTCCACCTCATCCAAAGTTGTATCGTGGACAACTGAAAAATGGACTTCGCTACTTGATTTTGCCTAACAAAATTCCCGCAAATAGGTATGCCTTTCCCTGGATACACTTCTTTATGATTGTATTGCAGACTTTAATGTTACCCATGTATTCCCAAATAGTGAAATATCTGCCCAACTCTCTGGTTATATATTTCTTATGTGTAGATGAATTTACGATTTTCAACCATTTTATTCATTGTTTCCTTCGGTGTTTTTGGCTTTGCAGGTTTGAAGCTCACATGGAAATTCATGTAGGATCCATAGATGAGGAAGATGATGAGCAAGGAATTGCACATATGATTGAGCATGTGGCATTTCTGGGAAGTAAGAAACGCGAAAAACTTCTCGGGACCGGTGCTCGCTCTAATGCATACACAGATTTCCATCATACGGTGTTCCATATTCATGCCCCTACTTCAACTAAGGTTTGCTCTTCTTTTTTAGATACTCCTTGTGACAATTTACAATGCATGTTTTATGAGCCTTGCACAACTCGGATTTCACCAACAACTCTTTTGAACTGGTGGCCTACTGGCTCATAGTTGTCTACGAGTTCTCCTCAATGTTTAGTTGACATATTTTACTGAGGGTTTGGCTAATAACCTATCAACTGCATATGATATATGATGTGACAATGGTGGAAATATTGCTATTTCAGGATTCTGATGGTGATCTACTGCCATTCGTTCTGGATGCTTTGAATGAGGTACCTTGCTTCTTATCAAAAATAAAATATGGACTCTTTCCTCTCCTAATGTTGTCACCTGCGCATTCCTTGCTGTGCATTTATCTTTTAAAGATCCTCCAACAATTTTTGTGGATACTTGCTTTGACTGTCGCATAAGGATTCTTTCATCACTTAGGATATATATAAATGTAAGTTAGATTTCACTAGTCATTTTATTTGCTTCCAGATAGCTTTCCACCCCAAGTTCCTTCCATCCCGAATTGAGAAAGAAAGACGGGCAATCCTTTCAGAGTTACAGATGATGAACACAATTGAATACCGTGTTGATTGCCAGGCACGTTCCATTGTCCCTCTCTATAGTGGTTATTTTCCATTTTACCATTTATACATCGTTGCAATGCATATTGATATTATACTGTGGAAGAAGGTCATTGGTGCATTATGGTAAATTCTTTATTGCTGTGTGATGACACATTCTTTGTGCTGTTCCTTGCACCCAGCTTTTGCAATATCTCCATTCAGAGAACAAGCTGAGTAGGAGATTCCCAATTGGATTAGAGGAGCAAATTAAAAAGTGGGATGCCGATAAAATCAGGTCATTTCATGAGCGGTGGTACTTCCCTGCAAATGCTACTTTATACATAGTGGGGGATATTGATAACATTGCCAAGACAGTTTACCAAATTGAAGTATGTTTCGAACAAATATTTTTCTTATGTGCTACTAGATTTTTTACACGCCATAGTTCACATTTGTAGTATGAAAAATTCCGTATGCATATTCTCAACTAGGTCCTTTGTAATGTTTTTTATTTCATTGCTAGAAACTCTTTAAGGATATTATTTTATGGACATTTATTTGCAGTTTAAAACTTCTGATAATCATGATGAAATTATGAACAATATCATATAAATCATTTTCAGGCTATGTTTGGGAAAACTTATGTTGAGAATGAGACAACCCCAACACGTACACCCAGTAATGCATTTGGTGCAATGGCAAGTTTTCTTGTCCCAAAGCTACCAAGTGGTTTGGCTGGCAGTTTATCTAGTGAAAGGTCGGCTACTTCAGCAGAGCAAGTAAAACCTTCTCAAAAGGAAAGACATGCCATAAGACCTCCCGTCAAGCATAGATGGTGTCTACCTGGGACTGGGCAGGAGATAGAGCCTCCACAAATTTTTCAGCATGAGTTACTACAGAACTTCTCCATCAATCTGTTCTGCAAGGTAAGGCATCAAAGGATGGATTTCAATATGAAAACTAAGTTACATTTCTTGTCAAACTTGAACTTGGATCCTAAAGTTCAAATAATGAAAACCTTGAAATGAAGTTGGGCTTTCTGGTTCTTGACAAATGCTAAATTGCACTTCTGTTGTGCTGGCTTATGGGTTTTGGGATGAGTGATTCTAGTGGGTCTCTGAGATTACCGCACTTGTGTTACTGTTTGAGATTGTTTGAGTTTCATGACCTCGGTATATTTTCTTCATTTTCTCTTAATAAATGATGCATACCAACTGACAGTGCCATTTGCCAATCTTTTCAGTATTGATTTAGCTTATGTGATTTTTATTTTCTGTTGGAAATTATTGAAACAATTATAGTTGAATTTATGAACTCCTTATGCTTCAGTACTTACTTCTGCTTTAAATTGTTATCCAGATTCCTGTAAACAAAGTTCAGACTTTTGGAGATCTGCGAAATGTTCTGATGAAGAGAATTTTTCTATCAGCATTGCATTTTCGAATCAATACGAGATATAAGGTGTGTTCTTTATCATGTTCCATATTATTCTTATTGGTAAGATGTCCGATTTTCTTAGCTGATTCCATCTTTAACTGTTTAACATGTTACGACCATTTCTGTGCTAAATATAATGTACTATTTGAATTTCTCAGACATCTTTAAAGGAACATTTGACCGTAGTTCCATATGATAATTTCTTTTTAGTTAACGGTGTGGTCCTGACGACCCTTGGTGGTTCAAAAAACCATAATAAAATGCAGATTGTTTCTTGTAATGTTACTTTTTCTATAGTCGGTTCCTTCATATATGATCTGCGTGTTTAGATCTGGCTTACATTGCTTGGGTCTAATTTCTATTTGAGAATTGACTAGGATGACCAATTTATTTTGAAGAAGTCGCCACAACTAGATGGAAATCTTTTCAAAGATATATAGTTTTTTCTATTTCTTTGATAGAGGAATGTGTTTTTAACACATTGAAATTTTACAACTAGAAGTTAAAATGTAGTTTTCTTGGGTCACTTTGCAACTCGTTCAAAGGCAAAGAATATATTGTCGAATGTTTTACAAAATTCTTCTAGAGTTAAATGTTAGTAGTTTTTCAAAATCTGATATATGTGCAATAACTTTCTGGTGTATATTTTACAAATTATAGGGTGAGTTCCACATGTACCCATCGTTTAGCGGTTGCTTCTTTCATTCCAAGACTTCATACAAATCTCCATGCATTCAAAGCTGAATATTTGTGCTTGACTTGAATAAAGCAACAATTCTAGCGTACTTTATGATAAAGTTACGATTGCGAAAATATAGTAGCAGTAAATTGTAAAGTAGTTCACTTTTATATAAGTAAAGAATCAAAATAAAACCCCATGATTCATGCTGACATGGGTGGTTTAACACATGTCATCACTTTGTTAATTGGATTGACTATCTTGAGAGTGTTTGATTCATTGCATGAGTTATAAGAAAATCTTTGACTTTTCATTCTTTTACCATTACACAAGTCTATTGATCTATAATATATTATGACTACCCTCTAGACTTACTATAACTTATCAACCTGTTTAGTCTTTGATACTTTTTTTTTTCTTCTCTTGGGTTCTGATCATGAATTATTTTGACAGGTTCACTCTGTGTTCTTAATTTTATTTAATCTTTTACTTATTCGTTTTACTTTTTGCAGAGTTCAAATCCTCCATTCACATCAATTGAATTGGACCATAGTGACTCGGGTCGTGAGGGATGTACAGTTACCACTCTTACTGTCACTGCAGAACCCAAGAACTGGCACTGTGCAGTTAATATTGCTGTTCAGGAGGTCTGGATTGTGATCACTAAACGTTTTACTGATTATTCAACAAAAGAAAAAAAAGAAAGAGGGCCTATGGCTCTAGATAGTTTATTTTTAGCCCCATTTTGATTTATAGATTGTTTCATCTAGTGTTCTAGTTTCAAATTTTTTCTTTCTCACGATTGAAACCTCTCATGTTCCACTTTCACATTGAAGATCACTTTCTGGTTCTCTTATAGCACCTTATATAGTCTGTTTCAGTTGGGCTTAATATTGGAGAAATTTACTTTAATCCATCCTTATAAAAAAAGAGTATACCGTAATATAGTGGAGTATGGAAAATTCATTGCCCATTGTATTATCGAGCCCAGTGGCATGATGAAAAATGATGGAAAGAGAGTGTGTTTATATATATATATATATATATTATATGTATCTGCATATAAAATCACCATCCATTTTGACTGGTTGCTTTTCCAATGTCCATTGGATTAATAATTTTCTGCCTTTAAAATGGGATTCATTCCATGCCAATCTCTATGATCTTTAATTTTTTGTTGTTTTTGTGATCCACTTAGTGCAAAGTAAAAACATGTCTAAGCTGAATATGACATGCTTGGTAACCATAGGTACGGAGGCTCAAGGAGTTCGGTGTCACAAAAGGCGAATTGACGCGTTACATGGATGCTCTTTTAAAGGACAGTGAGCACTTAGCAGCAATGATCGATAATGTTCCTTCTGTTGATAATTTGGACTTTATAATGGAGAGTGATGCCCTTGGTCACACTGTGATGGATCAAAGACAAGGACATGATTGTTTGGTTTCAGTTGCAGAAACTGTTACACTTGAAGAAGTAAGCTCTCGCTGGAAAGGAAAAATATGATTTCACCAATTTCACTCGTTCCTCATTTCCTTTACTACTTGTAGATGTGCAGGCTTCTCTGAGTTGTTATTGTTGTTGTGCTTTGTGAAATACAATGCATCCAATTGAAGAACTGATTTTGGCTTATATCGTGAGGGAAGGTGAAAAATCTTCCCTTTTCAGCGCACAAAACAAGCTTATCATAATTGATGATCTGCTGGTTGTGTAATACTGTAATACACGTGCTAATTTACTGAGGTATAATCTGCATTAATCTGCATATTATATTGAATTTGTATTAGAAATTTGTAGTGTTTTTTTTTTGGTTTGTTTCAGGGTCAGCAAATTTTGTTTCCTGAATTTTATCTTGCTCAATTTTGTTTTACAGTGACATGACTGGGAAATCTCATATACTGGTGAATATACTAAAAAAGAATGATTTGTGTTGCAGGTCAATTCTGCTGGTGCAAAGGTCTTGGAGTACATCTCTGATTTTGGAAATCCCACAGCATCTCCCCCTGCGGCAATTGTTGCATGTGTTCCAAAAACAGTTCATGTAGATGGAGTGGGTGAAGTTGAATTCAGGATTGATCCAAATGAGATAACAGAGGCTATAAGAGAAGGTTTAAATGAACCCATAGAGGCTGAACCAGAGGTTTGCTTTCTTTAGAATTATGGGCATAAGTCTAAGTCCCTTAGCATGTTTCTTGAGAATGGGATGTTTAAGAAACATGTCCTTTTCTGGCTTTCGAGACCTATATGATGCAATTTTTCTCATAGCTCTTATCTATTGTGTTATTTGGGAATGTATTCTATAGTTTAATGGACTAGGGAAAAACCATACTTAATTGGGCTATCACCCACTGAAATAAAGTGATTGAATGAGCATCAGGCCCACTCACTCCGAGATGGGTCCCTCTCACTCCAATGCTGTCGCTTTCAATGGATATTATGATGCAAATGCACTATGGCTTTTTCATTGTCTATTGGGTTATAGTACAAATCCCCTACTTTTACCCCGTGTTGGTTTTCAGTTTTTTTTTGGCTTTATGGTGCTCTTGACAACAATATGATCCTTTCTTCATCATTTTTTGGAAGGATTGTGATGGTTTCTCTTGTTTTTTTAGTGTTGTTCTTCCACAAACTTGTGATAGATAATTTGGAAGCTCTTCTACAATTTCGAATTTATTGTACGTGCAGCTCTATTATTAAAGATTCATCGATGGCCTTGTTCTCATGAATTATGAAATGTAGTTATACTTTTTTTTTGGCTTCCAAGTGTTCACTAGGTTTATTGTTGATGCAGTTGGAGGTTCCTAAGGAACTTATATCATCTTCACACCTTTCTGAACTGAAGTCATTGTGCAAACCAGCATTTGTGCCGCTAAACCCAGATGTTAATGCAACAAGAATATTTGATGAGGAAACTGGCATCACTCAGTGTCGCCTTTCAAATGGAATTCCTGTAAACTACAAGGTGCTAAATTATCATAGTGTTTACGCCACCTGACCTGTTTTTTTGAAAAACGGTTAACTTACACCACCTGATCTTTTCTCAACAGCTCCTCCGAACAATCCTGCTATTACTGCGAAGCGATATACTTTATGTTGCATTAGTTTGTAAACTATATGGTTGTAAAATGTGGGAGGTAGGGGGCTTCCTGTGATATTCTTAACTTAACCCTAAACCTGCCGGAGCTGTGCTGTAACCATATCTAATTGTTATATTATTTTCAGATTTGCTCTAGTTTCCAATTTACTTCTTTCTTTTGGTGGAAAAACAAGTATTCTGGTCATTTTTTATGGAAGTAATGGGAAATTCTGGTGATGCACTTTGAATAATTTATAATGACCGATCCTCTTTGGGAGCATGGGTTGTGTTCGTTTTTTTTCCCATGTCGCAACTTTACCATTTAATAACTTACGATGTTTATCATACAACAATGTGAGGCATGTTTGTAACACATTTGCAAATTAAGATGTAGAGCGTACCTAGTCATTGTGAATTTGAGATGGCCAAGCTTGTAGAGTCTTTTCTAAAGATACATTCTTGATGTACTGGTTGTTTTTTTTCTGTTGACCCTTTCCAACTGTTCAAACTTTTGTAACACTGGCAATATTAAGTGATTGCTATTGCCTATGTGTGCCACTGCCACTTCATAATCTTCATCCATGCTAAGCAAAAGTTGTTTCATCTATCAAGTGTAGTGTGCTTTCTCTTACTCTCGCTCTGTAATTATTTTTAGTTTCTTAATTTGTTTCTATTACTTCATGTTTACAGATCACGCAGAATGAAGCTAAGGGGGGTGTTATGCGGTTGATTGTTGGAGGTGGAAGAGCAAATGAAACCTCAGAGTCGAGGGGATCGGTTGTAGTTGGTGTTCGTACTCTGAGTGAGGGAGGAAGAGTAGGCAACTTCTCAAGGGAACAGGTACTACTCTATGTTATCACAAAGAATATTACAAAGAAACTCCAGAAGAATGTGAGGTTACAAAGAGACCTTTGAGAGATTGTGAGGTCTTCTTATAAATGTCTATATGAACAACCCCCCCCCCCCCCCCCCCCCAAAAAAAAAAACGGGGTATAATTCTTGTTATTAATGTACCAAAAGCAGTGAAGTTGATCTGACTGGTCTTTTTGCGGTTGCAAGACAAACCAAGGCTGGTATCATCCGAATAAAACGAGGTCACATACAGAGTCATATAACATGTCTTTATTTTTGTTACATAGACACATCTCTTTATTTATGTTACTCGCTGAAGTGGTCAGGACTTCCAAAATCAAATTTGAAAATTGCACATTTAAATGAAATTTCCCCGTAATCCGTTGGGGTAATGATCTGAAGGGGCATTCCATTTTCCATACGTGGTGATAGAGAGACAGAAATTGACAGTGCCTTGTGAAGGGCCAATCACTGTTAATCTCCACCATCCATCATCAGGAAGATACTCGATTGCCACTGGATTGAATTATGGTACACCAACCCTTATATTAACAGATATAGGATGAGATGGAAAAATTTTGAGGTGCATTTGCAAGCGCAGTGGGTGAAAATCTGTTTTGCCATATACAAGACTACATGTGAGCCATTGTTGTGTACAAGTACATTGGGCTGAACGTACATTTTGCCCTTCTCTGAGCAAATCCATGTGAAAATTTTTAGCTGCCCTTGGAATGCATACATAAATTTGATTTATTGCCATCAATCATCGGAAATTGAAGAGGAAATGACAAATAGTCCTTCGAATCATTTATCTTTTTACAAGTTAAATGGGGTGAAAATATGAGACTGTGTCCCTAATGGACAAGTGCAGAAATATACACTTAAGCTAGCATAATTTATTTAAGGAAACAATCATGTAATTACATTGACACAGGAACATCAAAATGAATTTCTCTATGTTGCTCTATAAGAATGTGTTTTCATATTTGTGTATCAAGAGTAGTTCGTACTATTGTTATCTATAGCACTGTTTGTTATATACTTGATACTTTCTGTGCCTCAACTTATGCTGCTATAATGCGGAGCTTTCCGAAAATGTTAGAAATCAGATTGATGTTTGTTATTCCCTTTTTCTCAGCTTAATTTTGTCATTAGTGGCATCTCCATCCTAAGGATAATGCATTTTATCCTATATGATTCTTATCGTTTGCTGCAGGTAGAGCTTTTCTGTGTGAATCACCTTATAAACTGCTCCCTGGAGTCCACTGAGGAGTTTGTTTGCATGGAATTCCGGTTCACTTTAAGAGATGGTGGTATGCGTGCAGCTTTTCAACTTCTCCATATGGTTCTTGAGGTGAGTTCATTTTATTACCAATCAGATTGTCATTGTTGTCTCATTCCCTTTTATTTCTGTTTTTATGTAAGTTTGGCTGTGTTCAAGTTCCTTTATGTAAGTTTGGCCGTGTTCAAGTTCCCTATAATCAAAGGCAAATGTAGGGAACATAGCTAAGTAGACTCTAAACCACAATTGCCCTAAGTTGAGATGGGGTGACAACCTAGTTTTGGAAATCATTAAAGAGGCATTATCTGGAAGTTGGAAATGCTGGTTAAACCATAGTTGCTGGAACCTTGTAGGCAAGGTCATGGACCCGCTCCGGAACCTTGATCCCACAATTCCAGCTAGGGGTCTTTGATGGAATGCGGATCCCTATATTGTGTTCCTCATTCCTAGTAGGTTTGAACTGCGGTTCTCAAGTGTATGATGCAATGGATATGATCATTTCTCTATTCGGCACTAATTCATATGCAGTTATTCAGGTTTGTGCCCAATGGTATTGTGAACCCACACATCATCCGTGATCCCTGAAACTTACTATTCTGATTGCTACCTCATGGAATCATGCTTCCCTGTGACAAGGATCATGTTTCCTTGATAGACGATTGTATGGAAGACGATCCTAAACACAAGAAGCTTCGCGCAATCCACGGTTCTGCGAACCCAAGCGAGCTCCCGCTCCCTGGAACGCACCCTCAACCAAAAACTATGGGCTACACATTAGGGGAAATATTGGGAAGGAAGCATATGGGAAACACACAAATAGCACCATATGGTGCTCTCTTTTAAATTGTGACTTCTTAGTTCTTATACAACTTGAGTTCCTGTAAAACACATTGGTAAGGTAGAATAATTAATTTGGAATTGGTGGAGAACATCAGGGAGGTTCTAGAGGAAGTACAAGCTAGGCACTGCGGAAATCCTTTTCTACACTAGGGAAATATGAAAGTTTGAGCCATTGAAGATGCGCTTTTAGTCCAGTTTTGAGTTTATGTATTAAAACTCTTGCATATATAAAGTCAATAGTATATAGTCCTGTCAAGCTGCAATCTTGAGACTAAGGGTATTTTCATTGAGATGATCACAAATTTAAGCCTTATTGATTTGAGCTGTCAGTACTGTTTTCTACTGCCTTCTATGGCTGTTGTTTTTTTTTCAATCTGTTTAACTTTTTGTATTAAGGGTGTAAGAGAGTTACAAGAAGCAACTGAAAACCAAAAAAAATAGGCCACCCATGAAGAGGGGGCTCTATACAAAGCACATTAGGGGCCCAAAAAACCCCAAAGGATCTTTACAATTAATCACAAAAGGGGGTGCAAGCTGGTGGGAATCAGTAGCTCAAAAAATAGCTGGAGGATCCCACTGAGTGTTGATCGAGGCCCCTTCCTTGACCAGGATATCAGCTTCAGCATTTGCGTCCCTCCAGACGTGCCTCCAAGAGATGGAAATGGAGTCAGAGATGTCGTGTATTTCATCTAAAATGTGGGCCATACGCCGGGCAGGGGAGGAGTTGGAAGCCCAGGATATTCATGGAATCTCCTTCGACAACCAAGTCTTTTCCCCAGATGTGATTGAGTTTCCTCAGACCGGCAAGTGGGCCAAAGGCTTCTGCGAGGCCAAAGGCTTCTGCGAAGGCAAAATCTTCGTGGCCATTAGGGAAGGAGAAAAAAAGGAGGACAGAGCCACTGTGATCATGAAAAAGGCCTCCAATGCCAGAGCGCCCTGGGTTGGCAAGAGAGCAGCCATCAAAATTTAGCTTGATAGTACCCACTTCAGGAGGTCGCCAAAAGGAAGGCCGAGAGATGCTGCTAGGATGAAAGGCTGTTGTTTTGTTGTTTAATTTGTTTTCTAACACCTTTCCTTTTTGTATTGTTCAAATAATCGTTTCAACCAGTGCCTCTTTTAATGCAGTTCCAACAATCATATGCAAGTAGATGCTATATTTTCATAAAGTATTTTCTTTTCATAATTTTTACTGGTCTTTACTTTTTGTCAGTTTATTTTGATAGTATTTACTGGTGCTCTTGATATTTTCCTCTTCTTGATACTACTCCACCTTGCATTGACAATATGCTCCTGGCCATCTAATTTACTAAATTTGAATGAATTATGAGCTTTCTGGATTGCAATGTCTTTCATCTAAAATTTTTTGAGTTTTGCTAATGTGCAGCATAGTGTATGGCTGGAAGATGCTTTCGATAGAGCAAGACAGCTTTATTTGCAATATTACCGTGCCATTCCAAAAAGCTTAGAGCGTGCGACTGCTCACAAGCTCATGATAGCTATGTTGAATGGTGATGAGCGGTTTTTTGAGCCTACACCAGAGTCACTACAACAGTTAACTCTGCCTATTGTAAAGAATGCAGTTATGAATCAGTTTAGAGGTGATAATATGGAGGTGGGTTGCCACTTTAGCTACTTTGTCTGTAAGTTCTTCATTGAGGATTATTTTCCTAAAAAATGTAAAGATACAGATTATGAGTGTTCTTCATCACCTATATTGCTTCCACCTTATGCATTGATTGCTTCTGCAGGTCAGTATAGTTGGTGACTTCACAGAGGATGAGATCGAGTCTTGTATTCTTGATTATCTAGGCACGGTCACGGCAACAGGAAGTACTGAGAAAGGGAACGAATATGAACCAATCTTCTTTCGACCATCTCCTTCTGATCTGCAATCTCAACAAGTGAGGAACTGGAAATAGTAAAAATGCAATTGTGTATATTGTAGAATGGCATGCATACCCCCAAAGTGGATGAACTGGCATGAACTTACACATTTCCGCTTACTTTGAGCTTAATTGATGTATACTATGTATATGTCGTTAGTTTGGTAGATGCTTCTTTTTCTATTTAGTGCTTGTAATGCGTAAACCTATCTTACTTGATTTGGTCATATTTTGGCTTTGATTGAGTTGCAACTGCTTTAAGGTTGATTTGTGATTCTTTCTAGTGAATGGGCAGTACATATGTTTATTATGCCAGGTTTTCTTAAAGGACACAGATGAGAGAGCATGTGCATATATTGCGGGCCCTGCACCAAACCGCTGGGGATTGACTATTGAAGGACAAGATCTTTTTGAGCTTGTAAAGAAAGGCTCACTTGTTTCGGATGGTAAGCTTTTTACCCATATCGTATGACTTAAAAAGAGCTGGATATGTGTCCCTACCTAGAATGCTCTTGAGATTGCACTGTAAATTTCCGAGACAACGGATGCATACACTGTAAATTGATCCGTGCATTTTGTTTAGTGTACAGTAATTTCTAAAACATTACCAAGCTTACATATGCTTGCTTGTATCTTCCCATTGGGAGTTGATTTTGTGTTTCCATATATATACATTTGCATTGGGAGTTGACTTTGTTCAAATAACTACTAAAATATTAATTACTGTATTGTGTGCTACAATAGCAACTAAAATTTAATTGAATACTGGAAAACCATAGTCCATTCAGTCATCAATGTCCACTGAAATAATCGATGGAGAGAGAGTGGATCCTACCAGGTCATGGCATGGCTGCAGTGGTAGGTTTAATTTATGTCCATCCATCGTTTTTATGTTGATTCTGTAGTCAAAGTCCGAGTTGTTGGGGAGATTTGGTTTTTACCAAAAACTATCATTTTGTACTTTAGCCGCATTCTGGAATAGTATTTTGCTTTTTGAACAAAATATTCCACCATATGAAGGAGTCCACATCGTGAGTTGGGATGTGGGTTATTGTTTTTCCTTTTCCAACAAAACATCCCATGGCATAGTTAAATATATTCCTTTTCAATATTTTGAAATAGGGGTTTCAATTCTCTGCCCCGAGATTTACTTCAACTATGACTCCTGCAGATGAGCAACGTAAACCTGTGGAATCAAAAGATGGAGAGGCCAACCTTTCAGGGAAGATTCAGCAGCTTCCACTATTTTTTGCAATCACCATGGGATTGTTAGCTGAGATTATAAATTCCAGGTAAAACTATATTTTGACATGATCAAGTCAAACATGAGAGATAAAAAGAGTTGATTAAAGAACTAGTTTCTTGACACTCATATTATGAGATAATCATTGGGATCGGTAATTGTAGACTGTCATTTGGTGATATTTACTTCCATGGATGAAATTTACCACCTTGCTCCGATGACTAGGGAAAACATCTAGGATTATCAAATGACAGAATATCTTACTATTTCTGAATCTATTGGACATATTGTGGATATTGGTGTAACACTATTTAGATCGCATAGTAATACGGGTCTAAGAGGATGGTTGGAATTTTGACTTGCCTGCTAAACAATGTGAAATGGATGCTTGAGACTTTGCATGCTTACATTGAGTTTCTTGATTATTTTTGTGTCTTAGAGTTTGGGTTGTTATACACATATTCTCTGCTAGATTATTCAAGGAGTCATTTATCAGTCTAATTCTATTAAGCATTCATAATATCTGTAAGCAATCCGTATACTTTGTACACGTTGCTGTCATAATAGTTGCTTTACTTCAAGCAATCAATTTCTGCATGGTGATTGATCTTTGGAATTGTTTATGAATACTGGAGTGATTTAGTAGCAAGTTTTTCTGGTTGTCGTAAAGAATTTATTTAGTACCACCAGTTGTCTCATTTTCATCCTGCTTCTGATGTCCAGGTTGTTCACGACGGTTAGAGATTCTTTAGGCTTAACATATGATGTTTCATTTGAGTTAAGCCTTTTTGATCGACTGAAATTTGGATGGTATGTGATCTCGGTCACGTCAACTCCGAGCAAGGTATGCTCTTGTGAAGATTTTATGTAAATGTGTCTTACTGCTGTGCCTTGTCAAGAATGATTGAACTTTCTCATTTTCTTCTCTTCTTTTTTTCCTTTTGTTCCAACCGCAGGTCTACAAAGCTGTGGATGCATGTAAGGATGTACTTCGGGGTTTACATAACAGCAAGATAACCCAAAGGGAGCTCGATAGGGTTCGTAAATGTTTGATCTTTGGTTTCACATAAATGAATTTGTAAACCATTAAAAAGCAGGAGCTCCATGATATTCTATAGGAAGTGCTTGCATTTAGAATGCCATTAATTTCTTCTACAGTTTGCTCCCTGTGATGAACTCTCCATACCTAGTTAACTCTTCATACTTTGGGAAGATGTTATAATCCAATGGGCGTGGATAGTCCAGTGGGCATCACTGTCCATTGAAATACACTTGGCAATGCTGGAGAGAGAATCATATCCAACATTGGAGTGAAGTCTTAATCTGGTGGGTCTTACTGCCTCCATCGTCTTCCATCATTCCAATGGACATTGATGACCCATTTCACTAAGGTTTTTCTGTAGTCAGGTGGATTATAGTATATTTTTCACATACTTTATTGGCAAGCGGTTTTACATTTTTCAAGAATCCCTCGTCGAATTGATGACTTGAACTTTTATCATCTACAAAATCAAATTGTGGGAAATTGGACATCCCCTTGCTGCACCATGGTCCTTGATTATGCCTCTGCAAGACATCGTTCACAAGCATTGACTGAAGTCTAAAAACTTTCATCAGCTACTGAGTTAAAGTTTTGGAGAGAAAGGCCCCCTTTTCAGAAAGTAGGTGTTAAAAGCCATATCAAGTAATGATAATAAAACTTTTCATCAATATGACCAAAAGCCTTGGACTAGTGTAAAGTTGCCACCAGATGTCTTACTATTAAGCTCACAAAAAAGCATGTGGTGACTTTGAAAAAAGAACTTTAGTTCCTGTGCATCTTAGGAACGAATCCAAGCAATCTGCTTGCTTGTTTTTATTTTCTATTTATTATCAGGAGATTTTTCCATTTTTTAATCATATCAAAGAGAAGTTACCTTAGCTTCCTGGTCTTCCATAAATCTCAGCAATATGCCCTTCTTTAAGCTTTTATTTAGTCTCATACTCTCATTGGATTGATTTTCTGGTTTGAAAATTTCTTATGCATATTAACCAAATCTCTCTTCGATTCAACTTTTTCAAGGGCCCCTTGAAATTGCTGCAATATGGCAAAAAAAGTTTCAGTCGTGGAGGCAAGGCGACACAGGGGATAGGG